GGCGCACAGCGAGTCCAGCCCCAGGGATTCCATTCCGCCCCAGCTCCGCGCCCCACCCCCCCGCGTAGTTGCGTACTGCCTGACTGGTAGACACACTCATGCAACATGAGCATGTCTATCAGCCAGGCAGTATGCAACTATGTATCGATACTCCTGAGAATAAAACTTAATTAGAAAATACTGGACATTTATATGTCCAGTATTTTCTCAATTTGTTTCCCGGAGAGAATCCTCAAATACCGGACTGTCCAGTTCAAAACCCGCGTAGTTGCGTACTGCCTGACTGGTAGACACACTCATGCAACATGAGCATGTCTATCAGCCAGGCAGTATGCAACTATGTATCGATACTCCTGAGAATAAAACTTAATTAGAAAATACTGGACATTTATATGTCCAGTATTTTCTCAATTTGTTTCCCGGAGAGAATCCTCAAATACCGGACTGTCCAGTTCAAAACTGGACACCTGGCAACCCTACAATCAACAGGCATTTCCAGGGGGATGCTGTGGTGAACACAGCGTAAGTCATCATTACACATGAGCAGAGGAATGAATAGGGCAGGGAGGTGACAGTATAAGAGGGACTGAGGTTGGATATTGCAGCCTGTTTAAGGGGCCACATAAAAAGATGTTGAAAAATAAGAGATGGGGCAGCAAAGGGCCCAGTGTTTTGAGGGATGAAGAAAAACACCTTGTGAGCTACTAAAAGGAGCACAATCTGTTGAGCTTCTACAAAAAAAGGCTGAGAGGTGACTTTGAAGTGTATAAGTGCCTTCCTCGAGAGAAAATGTCAGGTATTAAAGGGCTGTTTAATGTTGCATAAAAAGGTATAATAAGACCAGTGGCTGGAAGGTGAACACAGACAAATTAGTATTGGAAACAAGGCACAAATATTTCACAGTGTGGATGATTCACCATTGGAACAAACGACTAAAAGTGAGTGGCAGAGTCTCCATTTCTTCAGTGTCTTCTAATGAAGACTAGTTATCTTTCTGGTGTGCGCTTGGATCAAAACTTAGCTACTGTGATACACAGGAGGGCTGGCATATGCAAGGTCAGATTCAATATTCTAATGGTCCCTTCTGGCCTTAAAGTCTACTAATTAATGAAAAACAGAGTATGGCATAGGGAGCAACCTCCGGGGCTTTGTTGTGCAGCCAGCTTAATCCCCAGGTGGGTGTGGCAGTGACATCACAAAGGCCTGTTACAGGACTTCAGTCTATGGGGGGACAGTGGTGGGGAGGTGCTGACCTCACAGAGACCCTGACATCAGCTAGGCAGGACAGAGGTACAAGGCAGGGGCTTTGAAGCAACAAGTTTCCTTCTCCAGGTCTCTCCTTGGGGACGGAGAGAGAATTAGAATTAAAGTACGTGAGCGTGGGGAGCAACCTCATCCTTCCCTACCACTGATTTTGTAGCCCCTGTTTAGAAGGCAAGAGCCTCAGAGAGATTTGGAACCTGTTTGGTCTGATCCACCTGGTACCAGATGAATTCTAGGCCTAGAATTCACTAGGTTAAGGTGATTTGGTTTCTTACCAAGGACTTTGTCCTGTAGAATCACTGGGGCACTGGGGGGTGTTTCCTTTTAGCTTTCATTTTTCCTCCTTCCTTCCCTCTTTTTTCTCTTGCTTCTTTTCCCCTTTTTATTCCTCCCTGCCTCCACCAAGGACATAGATAGGGGTGGGGGGGGGAAGAGGTTGCTATTACTGTGGAAGGCCCTCACAAAGAGGTATACTTGGAGACTGATCCCCTCTGGTAACGACCTGAGCCATCCTTAGGGACGCTTAGACCTGTCAGCCTCCCACTTCTCAGATTCTTGATGCTGATTGGCCAAGCAGGGGCCTGTTAGCAGGGAGGGACATTTTTCCCAATACAACAACTGTGACCCTTGGCTGTCCCTTCCTTTGTAGGCTCTGCACAAGGCCTTGTCTGACCTCAGGCGTGCCATGGTTGGAAATGTGCTGGCAGAGCCCCAGACACAGACTGGCTCCAATACATTTTGGAGGTGAGCATGGTCAGGAGGAGCAGGGGGCACATTTACCTTAGCGCTGGGGAGAACTGGAAAGGAGAGACTGGAAATCCATGTTCCCATCTGTTCGCCTAACCTACACCCCGGTGGCCATCCTTGGTCAGGGCAGTGCTACGTTGGACCCTAACCTCCTCCAAGTCAGGCTCTGGCTAGCTGTGGTAGTGAGAGCCTCAAATCCCCTGCCCAACCTTACGCACTCCTGCCATGGGATCCAAGACATGGTGATCACAGAAGAGTCACAGACTCCTTCCTAGACAATTGAGTGGGCCTGAAGGGAACCAGCTCTTCTACCAGCACTGAGCTTTTGGGTTGTGGGAGAAACTGTCCTCACAGTCACCCCCTTCCTCTGATCATGGGCTTTTGAACCAGTGAGAGTCAAGGCATCACTCTCCATCCGATGAGCTGTACATGAATCAGGAGCTCAGGATGAATAGGTCCAGCTCAGACCAGGGTTCATCTACTCTGCCCCCGTATCTTGAAATAAGCTGTGTGATTTGAGCTACACAAATTGCATTGCTTATTTCCAGTGTCAAAATAGCTTACTTTGAAATTTGGCGCTGTCCATACAGCACCAAGTTTTGAACTAGAGCACTGTTCTGAAATGTCCCTTAATCCTTGTGGAATGAGGTTTATAAGGAAGTTGGAATAGCAATCCTGTTATATTTTGAAAGAATGGGCTTGCTCAAAAGATGAGAAATAGCTATTTCAGGACATTTCTGGTATCCCGAAATAGCTCCACAGTGTAGACGTAGCCACGCTGAAAACTGGCCCAGTCTAGAGAGATAAAGACAAATTGTGACAATCCCCTTCTCAAGCACCAGGATCAGTGAATCAGATATTCCACCCTAAACAAAATCTGTCACCCGCGGGGATGCGGGTAGGCTTGTTTGCACAGCATATGCATCACTCTATTGATCCTAATCTACCTCATTCCCCCCCATTGTGTCAACTTCAGCAGCAGGTCTGAGCAACATAGGCTGTGTCTAGACTATGAAGATAATTTGGAAAAAGAAACAATTTTCAGTACGCAAATTGCGTATCTTTTTCTGATTTACTGCCGAAAGAGGCTTTTCTGACATTTGGCCCATCTACACGTAGCCAATTGTCAGAAAAATACTCTCTTTCGGAACATCCCTTCTTCCCCGTAAAATGAGGTTTACAGGGATGCTGACAAAACGCATCCACTTTGCCGACTTTTTTTTCGGAGAAGCAGATGCGTTCCTTCGACGCGGCAGAGCTTTTCCAGGATACCTCTGGTGTCCCGGAAAAAGCTTTGTAGTCTAGACGTATCTTATAGAGTGAAACGATTAGACTTTTCTTACAATTTTCCATATAAATATTGGAAAAGGCTTTTTTGTGCATTCAGATTTTCCCATTGCGTCCTTGCGATTCAGTTGTGAGTAGGGTTGGACAATGTCTATGTTCCATAGCGTGACTTTTTTTGCATGAAAACAAAAACTGGGTATATTTTTTGTTGAGTTTTTTTTCCATTTGTTTTTCTTCCCTTCTTTTCATTTGTCTTTTACCGCACATTTGCTACTCAAAAAGAGGAGGGATAAGAGAAAAATGGCCGTGGATCTCTCTTTTGATATGGTTGTGAGAGACCTGCTCTAGCTAGCTACTCTGTAAGAAGCCATTGTGGTTAGGAGTTCTGTAAAATTTAGCACTTTTCTACAATGACATAAAACAGCTGAATCTCCAGTAAATTTGATTGAATTATTTTGAAATCCTGCTTCCAGTTTCAGCACATTTTTGGTTAAAATATCTATTGTGTTTCAAAGAGTGAAGAAAAACCCTTCCTTTGTTTTTGTTCTGCTGCTAATGGTGAAGTGTCCCCTATTGTTCCGAGTTTTTGTAATAGAAATGAAGCCTTTAGGTTAATAATAGATCACTCGGGGATTTTTGGTGTGTGAATCCTTTTAAGCAGTCTCTCTTCATTCAGATATATAAAACTTCATTGTGAATAGCATGGTCGAGCAGGTGTTCCAGGCCTGAACGTTTTTTTTTTTTAAGACTCTCTCTGCACAGTGTCTGGAGAATCTGTACGACTTCACCTTGCTGAGCTGAAAGGGAAAGCTAAGGATGGTGATGCATCTTGGCATCCTTTGAAGGCTGTGTGCGCACTAGGAGAGACCTCTCTTGTTTAACATTGATAAGATGTGGCAGGAGATCTATTAAGGTTCTCTCTTGCAGTGTAGCGGTACTAAATGAAAGAGTCTAATGAGGCCACGTCCTCCATGTGCTGGGACCTAGGAATCAAGTATCTAGTTTCCCGCCCGAGCACCCCCGGCCATTTCACATGATAAAACTTGAGTCCGATTTAGAATCATAATGGAGGAAATATTCAGTTTTAGAAGGGTGAAGAGTTATATGTCCTTGTAAAGACTAAAAGGACCATTCTAATAGAAGTGAGTTCTATTAGATTGAAGAGTCTCTTAAGTGAAATGCTGGCATCCACATGCTTTGAGCCACTTAAAATTAGATTGGACAAAACACTGAAAAGTATACTAGTGGGGACAATGCTTGGGTGGTGGCAGAATGAAGAAGGTGACCTCATAGATCCTTTCCAGCTCTAATTTTTATGACACAAATCTTAGACAAATCATTTGGTTTAAGCTTTAGGGAGGCTGTGTAGTCTCAGAGGAGGAAGGCTGTAATCTCTAATCACAGATGATCCACTGCTCTGTGCGATGATTATGAAATTTTTGACCTTTTTTGGGGGGGGGGAGGGGTGAAGGCAACCCTATCAGATAATAGGATAGAAAGAAGAGCCATCAGGGAAGAACAAATGGTTCATCATCAGAGCTGAATTTCCCTAGGTAAATACACTGTATTCAGACCAGATAAGGCTACATACATTTCGGGTGTAGACTTTCAAAGCTACTTTCTTCGGGTATGTCTACACCGCAAAGTTTTTTTTGGAAAAAATTGCCATTTTCTTGAAAAACTTCACTTATGTCCACACTGCAATCATGTTCTTTCAAATAAAAAAATCAAAAGAACACAGTGGTTTTTCCGACATTGGAAAATCTCTTTCTATGAGGAAGAAGCCTTTTTCCCCAAAGAGCTCTTTCGGAAAAAGGTGTTTGTGGACGGGCAAGAGGGAGTTCTTTCAAAAGAAGAGGAGGGAGAAAACTTGTTCATCTTGGCCTCTGAGGATAGAACAAGAAGCAATGGGCTTAAACTTCAGCAAGGGAGGTTGTAGACGCTCTCTTTTGGAAGAAGTTTTTTCAGAAGATCTCTTCCGGAAAAGCTTCTTCTAAAAAAAAGCCTGCAGTCTAGACATAGCTTTCTGCTGTCACCTTCTGGGGCTTGACATGAGTTATATGTTCCATTGCTTTCTCTTGAAAGCGTAGTGTTGGGAGGTGATATATATTCTTTATGATCTTCTCTGTTAAGAGGAACCCATCTCTAATTTGTCTGGAAAAGAGCATGTAAATGAGCTGTCTTCATTCTTTCTCCATACAGCAGATGGTTCAGCCTATAAGCCTAGCATGGACAGCTAAGGGGATTTGGTAATGGGGTATGTCACCTGCCACTTCTAAGTCATTAGGTCAAACGAGGTCCATAGGAGAATGTTTGAAGTCACTTCTATCCATTGGTTTTCCTTTGAAGGCTTTTTGTGCCTTGCAAAATGACATGGTGATCTTGGTTTAAGTCCCAGAGAACTAGTATCTACATCACTCAGTACGAACTGGCATCTTTGTGGCCAGTGTCTGAAGAGATGCGAAAGCTGGAATGGGCTGGTAAACACCACTCCCGTTTACGTACAGGTTATTGTTCCAGAGAGCTGACACAATGGCATTAGAAAGTTTGTACGATCCAGGCTGTATCTCTTTAGCAGTTAAAGAAGAGTTCTCAACCTCGGCATAGATCAAGTCAGTCAACAAGTGTGACATTTATACTTCATTTTTAATATCTTACTTGGCTGGAAATTCTATGGTGGACATTATGAGCTAGTTTCATTTTTTGCTTGTTAAGCGAAACCAAAATCTTTTTTTTTTTTAAGTTCACCCCTATAATGCTAATAGATCAGAAGTCATATTAACAACAGCTGCAACCATGGACTGTCTTCAAAGCAAGCCAGTAAGCTTTGGAATATGTGAAATCATCTTTTTGTCACTTCTGTCCCTGGGATATTTATTAGTGGAGTATGGCTATAATGCTAGCTACACAGATGGATTTGAGGCTAAGTACCAGCCTGACAACTAAAAGCTGATTAGAAAACAGAGGTAAATGTTGTTCTGAAATCCTCAATCTTTTCCCATAAAAGTGCTACGCAATTTGCTACATCAAACTGAAGAATTCCAACATTATTGGTTCTTGTCAATAGCACGTTCCATAATTTACTGTAACATTCTGCACTGTGGTGAGAATGCATCGTTTCTGAGAGTGGTTCTGCATTATTAAAGTTTTTCAAGTAGCAAATGGTTTTAAAAAGCAAAATCACAAATCTGGAAATCCAAACGGAACTTGGCTCTTGTCCCTAAAAAACCAGAGGTTTTAATTCACTCAGCCATCTAACTGTCAGTGCTGGCACATTCTTATTAAACGTGACAGTCATGAACAGAGTCATCTCTTATAGATTGCAGATTTATGACTTGCAGCCAGATGCTCACATAAGCATGGAAGAAAAAAGTTCATTCATCAAAAAAGGCACTTCGTTCAAGTGACACCTTTCTGTTTCCCATCTAGTCACGTATCCCGTCTTTGTAGGTCTAATCATATTTTCCTCACTTTACTGTCTCAGAACAACTTTTCCTCGCAATCAGTCCTGCACATTAACCTATAAAAAGCAATTTGTCTGCCTCAGAGATCGTTTCCAAAATCTATTGCAGAACGAATGGAAGTAAAGGGAGGATTGATTCATATAATTTATTAAAGGACCTAGGAAATGCTTGTTAGGACTCTGCACTTCTAGTCTCTGATTTCTTAAAAAAAACCTTTAGTTTTGTATTGTAATCTGTCAGTACAAG